AATCAGCAGGATGAGTGTCCATAATGTGAAGACTAGCAAAGAAGTTGACAACCTGTTTCTGTTCTCAAAACTTCTCGATATGAGCAAGCATTGCATCTCCTTTTGCACACTCCATTCTACATCTGTATTTAAAAACAAATAATCCAGAGATGTTTTTTTTCCTTAACCTTCCACAAAGAGGAAACACTAAAGCCAATACATTAAGTAATTGGGAGACTTCTTGCAATGCATGCCTCATATTTTTGATTTTTAAAATGAAAACAAAGGAGCATACTCTTAAGGCCATATGGTGTGAAGGCTGAAATAGTTTATGGTTTTCAGCAGCATCCATGCATCATCCCTGGTGTTTCCACAATTCAAATTACTTAAGAGGGGCTCACTGCTATACCGAAGTACTTCGTATCTTGCTATTCCATTCTACTACTTTGACAGGAAGAATGGGAGCTTGCTGAAAATCCTCTCATTTCACTTTCTTTCTTAAAATCCTCTGCTTTTCTTTGTAAGTTTGTCACTTTGTTTGGATTCAATTTTAAACAAACTTCATACCAGCAAAGGGAGACATGAGCCTAGAGAGGTTTATCACATGCAGTTGCTAAGGAAGATCCAGCTTGGTTGGGCTGGAGTGTGCAGTAACTGGTAGTGTTTATTCTGCTATTTCTGTCTCTCAGCCTCTAATCTTTTCAGTATTTTGGGAGAAATTGGGATCTTACTGACTGAACTGTTTAAAGAATGAGAGTTACAAGCATTTTCATTTATCTTTATTATCTCTGGGCATTTGTGAGGAATCTCTGCTTTACTTGGTATTCCTCCAGATGAGGTTTAAGATTGCTCTGTCTACTTTTCCCAACTCTCAGATTGGCATCCCTCTATTTTGAAGCAGCAGCTGAAGGGCCAGTTTGGCTGTAGTGATACACTCTGTTTTTCTCCAGCTCCCTATTTTCTCCTTTGTGAAGTTTGGAGGGTAGCTTGGTTCCATTTTTGCACAGGGGTTAATAACTTAAGATATCTTTATACCGCTCTAATATGCTCAGCTGCAGAGGTAGGTTAGAAAAACTAACCAGAAGAGTTAAATTCAATCCCTTCAATGAAATGATTTGAAGGGATTTATCACCAGTCATTTTCTAAGGAAGCAGTATGGGGTATTTTTTTTACACATAAGTTTAATGTACATGTTTCTCCAGCATAATTGCTGTGGACTTAAGTAATTGATTTCTTTTGGGATAGGATAATGAGGAAAAGTTATGATGCGTGTTCTGGTGACCAAAAAGCCACTTGGTGTGTTTGATTTTAATACTAGGCCACTCCAGAAGAGGTAGTTTTTGAACAATTTTAAAAATACAACCTTGGCTTCCCTTTTCTGCAGCAACTTATGGTTCTTTGGTTGGTTTGTTTTTCAGGTAGGGGCATGTATTTTCAGTGTTAAACAATATTGTAGCACAATAAGGATATTCTGAATAATGTATGCATGGTTTGTGTATTTATAGAGAGTCATATCTTGTGGTGGCACTACAGGTTATAATAATGAAAGTGTAAAACAAGTGTTTTATATTTTAACAAACATAATTATTTTTTTTCTGTCAAAGAGCTTAATACCAATTTTTTAGAACATGGAAAAGTGATGTGTACTTTAAGTATGTAATTTCTTGCTGCTTTCTAGACAGTGGTAAGCCTATTGAATAATGAATTGGTAATTTTTATGTCTGCTGAATACTGTTTATGGCATTTCTGTGTCACGGCCTGTTGAGTTCAGACCTGCTTAGTTCTCCATCAGGTAGCTCTTAGTGCATGCTGAGAATTATTTTTAAATAACATTATATATGCAAAGTAAGGACCTAAAAATTAGAAGTGACTATCTGAAGGTTGCTTGCATTGTCATAGGTCAGTACTTGCTGCATCTGCATATTGCTAAAGCCTCAAACTTCATTATTTACACCATTTGTTCTGCAGGAAACCTGTCTCATTCAGTGCTAAAGGTAGATACCTCATGTTGCAAAGAGGTGACGTGAAGAAAACATAACATTCTTTTTTAATTTAGAGGATGAGAATGTATTGGAAGAGCAGTAAGTTCTGCTCCCTTGTACTGGGTGCATGCACAGAGTTCACAGGGGTGAGCTCTGAAGGGAATGTTGCTTCTGACACTAATTTGTTTTGAAGGTTTGACTTCTGAAGGGGAGTGTAGGTTTATTGTAATTTTTGTATGTGATAAAAGGTGCCTCAGAAGTTAGCCATTGAAACACTGAAGTTATTTTCAGAATGACAGAGGAAGTCAATATTTCAAAGTGGAATAAATCAAAGCACAAGGTTTGTGTTCTACTTGTGTCACAGTTTAGCCTTGTGACTCTGTAATCTCTTCCTTCCGTTACACATTAAGTCTGCCAAGGATAGCTGATGTTTAGTTTTTGCTATATGACTTGGCATGGCTTTGGTCATGGTGGGCATGGGGAAGTTCAGTAAAATTTCTTATTTGGAGCAAAGAATACGTGACTTTTCTTTTTGTCTGTCACTCTTTATTCCTACTTGAGATAATTTTTTCAAGTTGCTATGCCCTTTTTGAAGATATTTTGCTGCTTTGGTTTCAGCTTTAAAAAAAACCAAAGTTCTTTCCTCACTTTGTAGTCTGTTTGAGTTATACAGTGGTTAGTGTCTCTTCTTTCATGCTGAGTAAAGCTACAAGGGGCTGCTGCTTCTGAGGAGAATTACAGCTGTGTTTGTAAGTGAAGGAAAAAGCAGGATTTGACTTTTTAAACTGTATCCCAGTCAGGTTTATGTGTGAGGTTAATGTCTTGTCTAAGCATTGGGGTATTTATTCATCTTCTAGAACAAACAAGAGACTATAAGATGGGGGGGGGGGAACCCCAGCAACCCATACTATGTGAGATTGTTTCCCATATGCCCAAAGAAAGTTGCATACAAATGTTTAGCATGTGCAAGTTTCTTGCTGCATGATTGGCTCCCTTCTTAAGAGAGGAATTCAGTGAAATTGGACTCCTCTTTTAAAAACAAAGAGTAAGCACACAACAAAGGATAAGTGATCAAATGATTAGCCAGAGGCTAATAGGAATGCAAGGGAAGAGTGACAGATTGCATATTAGGAAGAAATCTGAGCTGTAAATTAATTTGAAGCTTTCTGCAGCTGAGGCTGCAAAAGACACAATTTTGAAATCTTTCTGAAGGACATAAAGAAATGAAAATTGTGACTTGCTTGTGTGTAAAGTATTGTATAATACAAGAAAGAAGGCAAATGGGTACATAAAGTTGCATTATAGTTTAAAGGAATTTTTCTTCTCTTCCTTGCCCCACTGAATTTTTAAAAAATCTGTGTTTGCTTAGGACGAAATATGCATCTGCCTGTAGCTTAGCGTGAGAAATTGTGTTAACTTACTTACAAATTCTGGTGATTGAGAAATATGCATGCGGTAAGGTTCTCTGTGGTTAAATCTACATCCTGTTGTATGCAAATAGGAGAGTAAAGTCAGGCCAGAAGATAAATACCTCACCAAACACAATTGACAGCTACATGTCAACAGGGAAATACACTTGAATACTGGAAAAAAACAGCTTTTAATTAGGAAGAAGTGAATATTCCCTTATTTAGTGACCTACCAAATGGTTTTATTTAACCTTGTGGTAGGTAGATGTCACTTTGTATTAATAGAATTCACTTTTTTTTAATAGAGATCACATTACCTTTCTTCAGAATTTAACATTAACTGCTGTAGTGCAGCAGTGCATGGGTACACATGGGATTTTTAAGGTTCAAAATATCCCTTTAAAGAAAAAAAACCTCACGAACTTATTCAGAAATCAGTTTATGGAAGTTTGTCGATTCAGCTTTTTAGAATGTATGTTTTAAAGCAGTGATAAATACGCTGCTGTGAAATTCTAAAGAACTAGTACATGCAGAACAGTAAAATTTGTATACAACAGATGGTTTTTTGACAAGCTTTAAATGTAAGTAAACATTCGTTGGCATGTTACTAAAGTTACTTGCTGCTGAAGGATGGAATTAGCTTCATCTAGGTTCTGATACTTACGAGGCTGTTCTGAAGTTTGATTTTTCTGAGTAATTCTCTGCTGTTTTTTGGTTCATATGAACACTTGCTGCTTATGTAAAAGAAAAATGACACAACAGTATGTAACGGTATCAGGTTAGTATAAGTTGTAATTTAAAAACCCTTTCATTTGTGCATTTGTGTCTTCTATACATTAAAGGAGAAAAGTGATACAGTGAAGTAGCCTTTGGATTTATGTGTATACATCTTTGCTTTCTTCAGAATAGAATTATGAACAGTTTCAAGTTGACACTCCTAGGAGCGTAACTAAAAATTTCTCTTCTGATTTGCAGTTCCTGTATAGTTTTGCAGTTGATGTTGTTGTTGTTGGTATCATCTTGATGGGGAGTTTATTATGAGGAGTGGAGATCTGTCACTGATAATCCTCTTGCCAAGCCATGCAGTATATAAAAAAAAAAAACCAAACTCTCTCTCAAGTCCTATTCTTTACCTTTCTGTCATGTATTCATTTAGTACAGCAGCAATCAAACAACAATAGAAACTGACTCTTTAAAAAACCCGTATTGTACTGATAGAAATAAATCTTATTATATAATCTTGTCATTAATGATGTCTTAAAAAGAGTAAAGAGGAAGAAATGCTGCAGCCGAGTAGGCTGTGTCTCTAGCTGGTAGGTCTGTATTCCCAGGTAAAAGGTCAGGCCTATATTTTATATTGTTCTACCTTTCAGTCTTTTGGACTATGTTTTCCTTGTTTCAAGTCTCACATTGTGACAATATCTTTGGAGGCATCAGCTAACATGAATACAGTACTTGGTGATTTGCAGCTATTTTTAAAGGAAGCATATGAGAAAATAAATTGATTCTGGTGCCATGGTGTCTAATATAACTGAGATGTTCCAGTCATAACTGTGGTTAAGTCATGCTAGTTGTTACAACCAGAGATAGTGGTATCCCTCTACTAAATCTGTTTTGCTTCTGTTTGCAGCTATGTCGTCTTACCTTTTAATTGTCAAATCTGAACTTCCTGGTGCTGTTGCGGGATTCTTAAGTGAAGATGAGAGTGGGTAAGGAAAAATGTTTCATACGTGTTCTGTGTTTGTCTTGAAGAAACAAGTGGCTCAGTACTTCTGAAGGAGATGGGTACTGATGCTTCCCTCTGATCTCACATGCTGAAAAAAAAAGTTATTTACTACAGAAGTTCTTGGAATATGAAATGTATTTGGCACGTGTAAGCCTTGTGCAGCACAAACACATAGAGCGTGATTCTTCCCTTATGATTTCCCATCAGATGACCTTAAAGGCTGGAAAAACTTCCATCTACAGGAATCTCTCTTCTGTAAAAATTTAAAAGGGGAAGCAGAAGGGGACAGATGGGAGAGGAGAAACATTTAAACTGCTGTCATGTTATCACTTCGCATATTTCAAAACCACAGTACAAAAACCATCAGACATTTAAATTTCAGTATTTTGCTGTCTTGCTCCAGTAATTGGACTTGTCTTGGGAAAAATGCCAGTTTTCCAGACTTGATTTATAATTCCCTAACTTGGCTTCCAGTAAAGAAAGCTGTATGTAAGGAGCATGTCCCTCGGATTTCTATCGGAACTGTCACAAAAAATAATCTGTGCTGAGACAAATATTGCAGCTTCAGCACTGAGATATCTTGTTCAAGTTGTCCCAATGCTGCTGTCATTCAGAACAGTGTATATCTTAGATTGTGTTACGGCCATTTTCCCAAACTGCTGTTTTCAGATGTTTTGAGCTCAAAACTTTCTCTGGATTGACATATGGTGAAATTGTCTTAAGGCTGTGTGATGCTTATATTATTCCTGAATGTTGTGGGTGAATTTTCAGTTTGAAATTAGGTTTTTAGAAGATACTTTAATTCATTTTGTATCTTGCCATTTAAAAGTTTTCCATTTTGTAACAACCATTTTGAGAAAAGAGACGTGGTAATCTTGCTTTCTGTCCTCCTGGCCCTGGCAATAATAGATTTTTAGTAAGAGACCTCTTTTTTTTCTTTAACTATTACGTTTTATATGTTATTTTTTTTACGTTTATATGTTATTTTGCATCAGCTAATGTATCTCTTGCAGGTGTGGTAGGCATAAGTTTTTTTTATTTGGGGGCTATTGCCTTATCCTTCAAGATCATGCTTTTAACTCCACTCTTCATACACAGTGGTATTGAGCCTGCTACTGTATCTGCTGCGTGTGCATTCCGGTCTGTCTGTCCCCAGATTTAGCACATAATGTCACTTACTACTGATTTTAATTTTATGTCAGCGCTGTTTATGCAAGGTGACGCTTTGTTTATCAAGGTCCTAGCACAGATCTCTGGATGCAAACACTGTTGAACACGCAGAGAGGTTATAGTGATATAACTAGATATTGCAAATCACCTGAATTGTTGTAATAATGCTCAGTGTGCTCTCAGCACTGCTACCACCTATACTTCTTCCTTAGTTGAAATTGCAGTTTGAGATGGGAATGAAGTTCTAAAATACTTTGCGCTTAGAAAGAGCTGAAATTGTCCACAAGAATAGTAACCACAGCTCAAGTGATAAACTGAATGGCAGCTGGGTCTTGTCCTGTTTCTGCCTCTGTTATTGGGAGTTCTTCCACTGAGATATTTTATTTGGCGCAATTTGAATTCTCTGTTCTTTGCCCAAATGATTGTTCCGAACACAGTCCATGGTCAAGGAGTGTGCCAGGTACGTGCATGCTGCTTACCTTCTCTGTATGCCCACACCTGTGTTTCATATCTTTTGCTAGATTAATTGCCATGGTAGATCATAATCTTTTGTTTCTGTGTATTTCTTCACAGATTTTAAGAGTCGTTTTTTACTGACCATTTTTTAAATTGCAGGAAACGGTTCATCAAAAATAGGTAATCAAATATTAAACCTAACTAACAACTTATTTATGGAAAGGGCATAAATGATGACTAGCTTAATCAAACTTGAACTGAACACCAGCTGAACCAGATGTTGTTGGGCAACTATTCTTTGTTAAGTCATTATAATATCTGATACTCTTTAATTTGGGTGCAAAGCTTATGTTTAACTGTAGTTAGAATGTATCAGAAGTGTCAGTTAGCCTATCTGTGAAAATACTTTATATTCATAAATCCTCCCAAGCCATACATTTGGGAAAGCCATTTAAAGAATGTTTTGCACAGTGAATTATTTTTATAGATGAAGGTTAACAGGTGTGCATGTGTTTGAAAGGCTCTGAGCCAGTGTGTAATGCATCTTTATTAAAAAACAAAAGCATACAGCATGAGCACTTGTTAATTGCAAGATATTTGTCTGTCTGCATAACAAGAATTCCACATAGTATTGATGACATGAATGTAGTTTCAAATGAGGATTGTGTTAAAAAGTTGTAATTTGTGAGCCCTCTGTTAACATTTAATGACCCTGTCAGGAGGATATGATTGATGCAATTAAGTTGTCTTGCTTGTGTGTTATATAATTGATATGGACTGAGAGTATGATCCTAATTTAGAACATATGAACCTCTTGTCCTGTTGCATTCAGGAATGAAATTAAAGCAATTTATAAATGCCTGCTTTTAGTTAAAATATGGGGGAGGTGGAGGAACATCTGCATGCCACAGCAGTTTCTGTAGAGTCAAGGATTTATATTCCATATTTCATATTTGGAACACTTATCACGTAAGATTATATTTGCAGATCAAACTGATTTTAAAGGCAGTGTCAAAACATTCTCTTTTGGAAAATAAGTATATTTCTACCACAGTATTTTGAGGGGAAAATGGACACATTTATTGCTAACTAGTAAATGGTCCACTATTCAGATTTTATGAGATCTTTTAAATAAAAGAATTGGTATTCCAAAAGTAAGAAGTTTACGTAATTGTTTTCTCCTTCCCATCACCTCATTGCAGTCTTCCTCCCCCACCACCCCCCTCACCCCAAAAAATGTTTTTTCATTTACCATGAGGTAACCAAAATAAATTTCCCTCTGTCCTGCTGAGCTTGTGAGCTACAATGGCAACTGTGGATCTCCTGCATATTTGGAATCAGGAGACTTAAACCAGAGGTCTCACACGTACATCTAGTGGAACATTCATTATACTTTTGCCTATTGCTATGTTACTATTCCTTCTAATCTGAAAATCCACCATACAGAAAGAAAAAGTTTAAAAATACATGTATGCTAAATGTGTAAAAATGTGAAGAATACTATAGCAGGGAGCTGAACTCAGAAAGCTGCTTTCTCACTGTAGCACTAGCAGACCTGGGCTAGTAGTATATTTTTTATGTATTTTTAAGAATGATGTATTTTGAGTGATTTTTAATGCAGACTTCTAGGTTACTTTGATTTTGATGTGGTGAAGATGCCCTCAAACTTGAAATTTCTCTGTTTATGTAGTGTTTTTTTTTAAACAAAAATTGACAGAAGTGGTTGTCCATGATGTATGCCACTATGTAATATATGTATATTGTGATTTTTTTTTTTTTTTTTTTTAAACAGGTGTTATGCTACTTTCTTTATGATAACTTGAGGTGCTGCCTGTTTATTAGGTGCTAACCATATCCTGGACTAAATAAACTTGAAGGTCAAAGGCCAAGGTGTTTATAGGTAGTAAAGTTGGAGACTGATGTGCAAGATGTTTATCAGGACAGGATATGGTAATTGCCAGTTAGGATGTTTCTGTTTTCTTAACCCATCTGTACTTTCCTCAATTTGCAGATGAGATTTTGATACTTTGAAGTAAAATATATTTGAATAGGGTTTTTTTAAATGTATTAACTTCATACACCTCTACCGTGCTTTTTTTTCACATGTATAGTTTTATAGCATTATTATAGCAGATTTCAATATCATAATTTCCATCCCCTTTAATTCTTGTGTGGATGCATGTAAGAAATAAGTGATCACTTTGTGCAAAGTTAAAGTCCTTTTCATTGCTGTTTGTTTTTATATCTCCTCTGGACAGCAAATATTTCAAATTAACTGAAAGTTGACTGACTTGTTTTCTTCTATTACTTGAATGTGGTGATGGTAGGGGTAACAAAAGGTGGGCAGAAGAGAAAGTTGGTAGGTTTAGAAAACATAAGCGAATTTCCAAACAAGTAGTTTGAGTAGCTTAGCTTTCTGTCTCACACTGCTTGCAAATGGTCAGGAGCTAAGATCATGTAGGAGTAATAAACTGTAAGGGAAGTTCAACTGTAAGTAGGAATTGATGTTGCTCTTTGTTACAGTTGTGTAAATATGCAACTTGGTGTAATCCAGTTCGACATACGTGTAGCTTACTCTACAAATTTCTAGTATAAATAGTAACGGAGTATGAAATGCCCTTGCTCTTGGATTGTTGCTTTGAATAAAGGCAGGGATTTGCATGTTGTGCTGCTGAGAAATAGCTTTGCACAGATGAGACTCCTGATCTGTGCAGACTCTTGCTTATGGAACATTGCCTTCAGTGCTGGTTTGTAACGAGGAAGCAGAGCGCCATCCTGTAATCTGGGAGCTCTGTTTTATATCACAATATAGAGACCAGGAATATAGATTCATGTAAATAGCATGTGAGACTGGAAATTATTTATTTTTCTTGTCCTCGTGGCTATTTTGTTTAAGATCACACTGTTAAAGTAGAACATATTTTTTTAGGACTCTTGAGCTTTGTATCAGTCATAAGTAGATTTTTCCAACAGGTCTTGGTACCTTGATGGCAGACTGCTGTTACTGATTACTTCAGTCTGCGTTGTTTTTCCTCTTGCGCTTCTTCCTAAAATTGGTGAGTAATTAAAGGAGAGAATGGAATATTATTCTACTTTAGTAGCAATTACAATTGAAGAATTTAAAACCTTAATGGGTTGGTTATTTATTTTAACTGGCAGGGGGATGGTGATGGTGGGGATTACTTAAGTTGTTGCAGTGTGTTCTGCCTTCCAGCCCTGCCTAGTTAACCTATTACTTGGGTTGCAGTAGTATTTTGTCTGCAATACTAAAATAAAATCTTTACAGCAGAACATTAAAGAGCTGCATTTACTTACAGCATGCCATTAGTGGTAAGCCAGTTCTAATTCTGCCCTACAAAACTACATAAATGATCTGTGACAGGCAGTTGGAATGTTGTTATTCTGAGTCCTAAGCCCCAGATACCAAGCACTGTAATAGAAAACATGCCTAAAAAACATGCCTAAAATGTAAAGCTTAGCTGTACATTAGGATCACTTTCCTTATAAATTCTCTTTTATTTTTACTGTTATTTTACAGGCTTTCTTGGCTACACAAGTAGTTTATCATTTTTCTTTACGGTGTACTTTGCTCTTGTGGTAAGTTAGATAAGCTGTGCGCAGATTTACTTTTTTTTTCTTATTGTTTGAATATTTTCATTAGCCTGTTTTGAAATTAATTCTCCCCCCCCCCCCCCCCCCGTAACTTTTTATATGAAACTTAGAGTTTTCTGGAAGTCAGCGTGTGCTTGCTTACGTTTGTTTTGCTGAGGCATGGAAATGGAGGCGAACTTTGATGCATGTGAAAAGGTTTAAAATAATTATATTTTGAACTGGTAAATGTAACAATATTTCTGTTTTGCTGACGGTGCAGTGGAGGGAGCTGGCACGTATACTTTTGTTTCCCTACTAGTAGTGGAATGGAATTCTGTTTTCTTAGCTTCTAACTATTACTTACTGCAACTAGTGCAGAAGAAAATTTAATATACTCCAAATAAATTAGATTTGCATGTATAATAGAGTGACAGAGTTCAAAAAAAGGCAAAGAAAACTAGAACTTCATTAAGGTGGTTTACAAGATTCATTAATACATCAATGACCTTATTCTTCTTCTGCACTGAAAGGAAAAGTTCTTTTCTCTGAGCCATATGGGGTTTTTTTGACCCTGATGTTCACTCTCTCAAGGCCTGTGTGAGGTAGATGTTTCCAGATACCAAAAGTGAGACCTGCTAGGCAGATCTAAGAAGGAAAATGTGCCTTTAAGTTGTACTATTTTTCTTTTCACAGGGGAAAAAAAGTGTATTAATGCACATGTGTAATATGTGGTACAACCAAGCAACTCACACTCTGTCATCTAGGTATAGAAATAAGATTCTTACTTAGGAGCCTGAAAAAATGTTCACCCTCTTCCCTGTCATTCTGGCTTGCATTGGTTTGCATTTAGTACCTGTTTTGCAAAAGCATAAACAGAGTTGAAGGCAAGTTGAACAAACATGCCATCCAGGAGACCAAGGCAATCCATTAGGAACTAAACCATGTGATAAAACCAAACTTCAAAGCTGTCAAAACATCTCCCTAGGGTATCCCTGGAGAATTGCAGTGTTTGTAGGACCTTGGGAAGTATTCTTCCTAAGCTGGACATTGAGGAGCAGCCACAGCCTCCCTGGAGCTAATGGAAATTCATTTATAATATTTATAAATTGCCTTAACTTTTGACCTCTCTCCTAAAATTTATCTTTAAAAAAAAAAGGAAAAAAAAATCAGGAAAAGGCACTAACTATAATGCTGAAGTAGGCCTTCGGCTGAAGCTAGTTGGAAGAGTTTTGAAATAAGTTCAGCCCCTGGATTTCAATGCGAATGAGTATGCATCTGTGAAGGAAGCTGTTGTAATGGATGGACACATTTGAAAACAATTTTGGGGCTCCAAAAAGGCCTCTGTGTAAGGATGACTTGTGTGCAGGCCTATTAAGGTGGGATGATTTAAGATAGTGTTTAGCTTTGATTCTCTAGCAAAAAAAGTAGGTAGGAAGTGCTAATGGAGGAGTACACAGACTACTGGATTTCTTATGTAGTGATTGCATCTGTATGTCTATTCTGTTGTCAAATGACAAAGAAACAGCTTCAGTAAATCTAACTGAAATCAAAATATTTAAAAGCCATTATGGATATTTAAAGAAAACTAATACTGTTCACAGCATATTCTCTGACTTCTCTAGGCACTGGAACTCAAAGGCATTAACTGTGGTTTAGTTTTCATATCTAATTGCTTTGAAGTGGATGATATGTGCTGTTGAAATGGTGTTTTAGTTTGCACGATGTTAATTTCGGTATGGAAGATATGTTTTAATTTGTTCCAGAAGGAAACGGTCATACAGAAGTCATACAATTGTATTTTGCATGTACAATAAATCTGTGCATTTTCAAGTGCATACCATCTGTTCAGCTTTTTGTAAGCAAGCCACAGTTTTAATAGAGCCTGTGGAAATGATAGGCACAATAGTCAGTCTCAGTCAATGTAGTGAGTGCACAGAGCAAAAGGTGTAGAGGCATTTGTTCTCTGTACTCTGCTGTGGTTCTTTGACAGGTCACGGATCTCCTCTCTGTTGCTTCAGTATTTTTAGTTTTAAAGTTAATATACTGGCTGTAGTCCTCACAGACTAGAAAAAGGTGAAAACACAGATGAGCTCATCTGGGAGAAAACAAATACATGTAACTGTTATTTCAAAGCCAGATTCTGTGAGGTCTGAGCATTTTTGTTTCTGATTGTTGAATACTTCCCTGACTTGAATGCTAAGTGAAAGGAAACTAAATGTAATTATTAAAAGATTTCCCTTTTTTTTTTTGTGGAGGCAGTCCTATTGGTAGCTTGTTCAACAAAGGTATAAATGATTCCTGATGAATTTTTTCTCAAACTTATTTATGTTCCTAGAGCAAAATATGATGCTTATTGGAAACCTGCCATGTGTAATGAACAATGTTAAGCACAGAGAGCCCCTCTTTTCTGAGTGCTGTCAGTACTGCTGGTATAAAGGGATTCCTGTTTTCCCCTTGCAGAGTAGAAAAAAGCAGTATCACTGAGAATATTAGAACATTTTTGGCCTATAACTTATTAGTGTTTTGTGATGTTTTTGGTGTGGCTTTCTATTTTCACTAGAATCTTTCTTTAGGTCTTAGTGTTTTTCACTTAAACCTCAATGTTTGTTATGCTGAAAAGAATGTTTATATGAAATGGGCCTAAAGTTCCAGAGGAAGGTTGTGCTGCCTGCATGACTGCTCAGCTAGCTGAGCTGTGCTGCCAACTTAAAAATCTCTTCCTGTTGTGGGGTGGGGGGACCTCATTAGACTACAGCTGGAAACCCAAACAGATTTGAAAAATTAAGGAGGTGGGTGAATATAATTACAGATTTTAAATGCACCTGGTGCATTTTATTTTGTCTCATTTATTTCCATTTCAATCTGTTCTTAATCTGTACCAATTTTATTTTAGAAAAATGTTTCTTTGATTTTTAGGTTTGGCTTCTCTTGTCCTTCCTCTGCAACATTTATATAGAATTTTGCTCTTCAGCTTGCAGGAAGCCCTGTCCCCACCACTGCCAGGACATTTTACTTTCCCTGAAGTTTGCCTTTCAGCTTCATGCCTGTTTTCATTGCTCAGGAAGCCTGTTCTATCCTTAGGCAGAGTTTTCCCACAAAGCCTTCTGCTTTGGGAGCCTTCAAAGCCTCTCCTTTATTTCCCATGTCTGGGTGCCTTTAAAAATACAGAGATCTCCTTGAAATAATATTTTGCCTTTTTGTTCAGCCTCATGAATGTCTTCAGCTAGCCAACAAGCGCGGGCTTCCTGGGGAGCGGGCTTCCTGGGGAGATAGCACAGCCATGCATCTGTGGTTGTAGTACTGCAGCAGCAGCCTGGCTTTGTGTCTTGGTTCATAGCTGCTCAGTGTATAATGTGCAAGGGACATGAGCAGGGGTGATCCATGGGACAGTGTCATGCATATGTAGGATACAGGACAAGTTATGCTTTAAAGTCCCTTTATGCTTTAATCCCTTTTTTCTCCCATGCTTGCTCTTTAGTTGAACTTCTTGATGTAATACCACCATGTTCTTATTTCTTCTGACACCCTTCCTCAGATGAGGTTGCAGTTCTTGTAGCATAGAGGGAGACAGTTTAGCTGGTCAGTAAAGAAGGTAAAACAGTTCTCCTGGTATAAAGCAGTGCCAGTTTAGTGTCAGAATCATGGTTGGAGGATTTCCATTGAGAATCCTACAAGGATTGCAGCCTGCTGTTGGGCAAGCTACTGCCTAGTTCCATACCTTAAATTGCGTGACTAAAAACAACTCACAACAACTCAAGGCATGTTACTGCCAGAGTGGACTCAGTGTGCTGTGTACCTGTAGTTTCCTTTCCCTGTATTTTGACCAGAGGCAGCATTTGTTTGCTTCTCGTGGCACTGATGACAGCAAGGCACATCTAATACTTATCCTCTGGGAAACACCACTTGGCTGAAAGCAAAAAGTAGTTCTCTGAGCCAGGAGAAGCACTCTCTTCCGTGTTATTCTTCCTGTGAATCTGAGTCTTTAATTAAGTTTTTAATTATTTGCTCTAGGCTTCAAAAGAATTATCTAAAGCCAGGCAGCTACAATAGGAAATTAATTAGGGTGAGGCGAGCAATGCGACTATCATTTTAAACTAGGCATCCAAAAAAATTTCTTATTTTAATTTCCCTTTGATTTTCAGCCCTGTTACTTAGCAGTCCCTAAACCAGCAGGGTGTAGCTAAAGCCCCCATGACATTCTGGGACAATAATTGCATTTATTGTTTTTTCCTTTGCTTTCTAGTCCAAACCATATGTTTCTGCCTTTTAAGATTAGCCCTAGGCTCTGCTCTATCTCTGTTAAGGGCTTGTCTGCTTAGAGAAAGTGCCTGGAATAGCTAACACAACAGCTATTCTGTATGGGAGGCAGTTAGCATGGAACACAGAGGGTGAATGTGGAGCACCAGTTGTATTTCAGTTAATGTCAGAGCTCATTTCAGTGCACCACCTCCAGATAGGCACGCCATAAGGCTGCCAGCTGTGTGCAGTGAGCAGCTGTATGGAATGGCACTAAGTTTTTCTGTCAAATTTCCTTCTTGTGGCCTACCTGTCTGCCAGTCAAGCCTGTTCATTTACTATGGGTGTAGCTTCCTCTTTATATACCAACAGTTTGATGTTTTAACTACATATATGTAAATTTAAACTGATTTTTAGGGTATCATTCATACATTAATATGCTGTCTTTGCAGATTATGGTTAAAAAATGGTCAATCCCTTGTCCTCTGCCTTTAAGTAGTGCTGTAGAGACCTTACAGGTAAAGTGCATGCTGTTTTGAAGTTCTTCTAATTTTATTAGCAACTAATACTTTTTTTGATTAACACTTTCACAATTACTTGTAATTTAAATTCCTTCTTCTCTTAATCACCACAGAAACTAAAAAGTTTCGTATCTGTGGTTTGGGCTTATTCTTTCATTATACCTTTTTTTTGTATGTATGTCTTACAGGTTTCAAATTCTACTGGGGATTGTAAAGCAAAGCTCTTTCATCTTTCAAAAGAGGTAATCTCTATTAACAATATGCAAACTTAAAGGGGGGTGGTGGTTTTCATAGAATTGGGTTTTAAACTCTGTACAGGATAAGCTATTCTTCTGTAAAACTAGTTATAGGGTGCTGAAATATTTCCTATACCTCCTGCCAAGTGTTATCCAGTCTTGCTCTTTTTTATATGAAGGCTGGCTGTCCAACTTAGCATTTATGAAAACATTTTACAAAGTATAAAGTATAACAGATGCAGCAGTGGTCAGCCTCATGATGCAGTCAGATCAAGCCAACTTAATATGCCCTCAGCTGGGAGTCAGTGGTGCTTGGCTGTATGCACACTTTTAGTTCCTAGCGATGTAGAACAGGTTTCCTGAAACTGCCTGGACCTAACCTTAGTTTTTTCTTACATGAAGCAAATTATTCAGACCTAATGCAATCTTGTGCATTTCACTGGATGCCAGCTTTGGTATTTGTTGATTAACGTGGCAGTTAAATCATATCATCACCCATCAAGGCTTGCAGGAGAGGAAGTATCATGTAGAACCCTAGTCTCTGTGGGATGAAGAGGAAGGGAAAAAGGTAAGAATGAATCTGGCATATGCCTGTAGTGTAGTGGAATTTAGGAAGGGCACAGTTGTACTTCTCTGAAAAAAAAACACAACAACCCAGCCCCACCCTCCCAAAAAAAACCTGGGGGAATCTGGGGCAGTGCAAACACAAGAGAAATGTTTTCTGTAGATCAAAGAAGAAATTTTACTTTGACCAGAAACATCTACCATGAGATTCCGGCGTTTCGTGCTTTGAAGAATCTTGGGACTCATCTCTACTTCTTTAATTTTAACTTTTATCAATAGGAAGTGGCATATTTTTACCATTATGGGCCTGATCATGCCAGCATGAAAGTGTTTGTTACAGTTCAGCTTACTCCACTTGTCATTTGAAGTAAGCTATAGTAGATGATTCATCTCTTTTATTGTGAGGTTTTGGAATAATTTACCACTAACTGTGCAGTTGCAACTTTATGTAACTATTTTAAAATTTCAGATGCCAAGCATGTTACATTTTCTGAATGCTGTATGCAAATTTTTGTTAAGGAGTAATAAGAAAAAAGTGAAGTCAGAATGAAGGAATCAGTTATTTGACAGGTAGCTATGGGTATTAGAATTTAGGAAACTTCTTAGAAAATTCCATGAATGATTCACTGACTCTGGGGCATATCCTACTCTTTATGTAAGTACTTGGCCTCAGTACAGCTAAAAAAGAATCTTTCAGTTGTCATATAAAGCATGACTTCTGCTCATGAAGCAGTAAGCTGTCACCACCACTTGAAAAGCTAGTTATTGAGAAGGTCCGTTTTTTGTGGAATAATTCAGATGCCATTCTGTGTGGTGGAGATTTATCTAAAGCATCAACGTGGAGAGATTTCCACTGACTTCAAGCACTTGAACCAAAATCTGAATTCATCCAGATATTTTTCCAACCATTTGTAATAACAAACAATCTACAAGATATTTTTCTTCTATTTTAGAGTGCTTATGCAATACCAACTATGGCCTTCTCTTTTCTCTGCCATACGTCAATCTTACCCATCTATTGTGAGCTCCAGAGGTAATGTATGAAAACACATACAATATTAAAATATGATAGTATTTCTGTAATATTTTCCCTAAATCTTGAATAAATTTTATTTTCAAGTCAGTGCCTCAAAAAATGCAAATTAAGTAGCTTTCATGTATTTGGGAAATGTACAGTTTTAGCCTGTACTGGCTTTTCCTCTCTTACAGGAGAGAAAAGTAGCAAATATGATTCCATCATCAATGTCAGTACATTGTCCTGGCCTGAACAATCAGGAGAAAAAAGGTCATTTGCTAAGGTACTTATTAGTTAATTTTTATTGCTGTAGCTGAATCTGCATTTGGTCACATCTGATTCAGTGGGGGCTTTTTGACCCAGATTCTGTTCCTGGCTCATCATCCTGTATAAATCAAAATTTTGATTTAAAAAATACTCTGGAATGTCTGAATTCCCTGCAAGATGGGGATGATATTTGTTGTCTCCTTTGAGACTGCTGTGAAAAGTGCCCTTTAATGATCAAATTAAAAATATTTTTAAAACCCCTGACAGCACAGACCTCAGCAAATCCTCAGTTGCTATAATTTAAGCCAATGCTCTCTTACGAAAGGCAAGCTTCTATGGAAGTTGCATTGTGTTTAATAGTCCATGGTACAGATTCAGCAGCACTAATTTTCTGGTTTTTGTGTGTGTGTTTTAGTCCATCCAAAAGTAGAATGCAGAATGTAACTGTCGCAGGAATTGGTCTGAGTTTCCTAATTTACTTTATGTCTGCTCTGTTTGGGTACCTGACATTTTATGGTAAGTATATTCTTCAAGTGTTCTTTAGAATGAAAGCTAATAATAATGACAAAGGCATTCTGACTGGTGTACTTTAGGCTTTTTTGTCCACTGGTATACTTGAAAGCTCTGAAATCTTCTTTTGAAGGCTTAAGAATTTGCCTGACACTGGAAAATATTACAGTCTCATTGACTTCTCAATGAGTAATGTAGCTAAACTTTGCAGGGTTTATGTCCTAAAATGCTATACAGAAAGATAGCCATCCCTAAACTGCAGCTGATGGTTCATATTCTCTAATACTATGTAATTAAACTGCTGATTGCCACTATGATGGCTTGGCTTGGCGAGTGAAGATTTGGGAAGTGCTTTAACCACGCTTACCACAAGCACCATGACCAAGGGCATGTGGGGTATCCAAATCTGGTTGAAAAAAAGGCTGCTTAGGCAATCGGGAAGTGTCTAACCACGACTGTCAACTCCTGAGCTAACTCGAGCTACCCATGCGCTGGTCTGCCCACATGCAACACTGGATCTGCAGCTTCCCATGCACCTTGTCACCTATGGTTTAGGCCCTCGCCCGTCCATACAGACAAGTGACAGTGAGCCCTTCCAGCCTGCGCAGTGGATTTTTTAGGTGAGCCGCAGCTTGCGCAGAACTTACACCTGAGGTTTAACTGCCACGGCCTAGCGAGCTAGGATGGTGACAGCAAAGTGCTCAGGTCGTAGGTTTTGTAAGAGTGTCCTTCTCTTTGATGGAAGACTGTACAAGGCTAGACAAGCTCCATCAGCCTGGGTTTTAAGATAGGAGTTTTCCTTCTCCAATGAGGAAGGCCTGTCTTCGCTAACGAAGATTCGGAAAGACCTTTACCCATGCATTCTGAACAAGACTGTCATCTCCTGGGTCAGTCACAAGCGACCAATGACACAATACCACAACAAGCATCTATACTGTTGGACTTACAATGTTGTCATTTATATTCTGAGAATGGATTTATTGTGATCTGTGAGAAATTCTGAGAGCTGTTAATAGTCTGCTCATCCAACAAGGTTGAAAGGTCTGTTCTAAGGCTGTACCTTCTAGGACATTTATAACTTAATTAACCTTGTGATATCCCAGCACATTTGTTGTCTCTGAGGCTGTTGCCTTTCATGAGAGGAATTTGACCCACAGCAAGCCAGCCCTAATGTTAGGTAGGTGTGAAAGTTTGCAGCAGTTTTTCCTTGCCTGGTACAGCTTGGGTACAAAGCATGTATTGCTTTTCTGTTTCATGTTTGTATTTTTACAACTCAGCTGGAGCTAACGGTAGCTATTGCACTAGAAGTCTGCTGGAAGTGGGGGGAAAAATATCCCATGAGTCATCTAATTTAGGAAAGCTTTATTTTAAAGGAGTGCACAAAGTGACTTCTTCATGATATCTTTCTTCATGTGTAACATAAAGACAAACTGGAGAAGTCCAGGAAAAAAAAAAAAAACAACTTGAAACCTTTAATCGCATATAGGCCACTATTAGTGTTTCCTGTCTATCTCCATGTGGTTTGTAGGAAAACACAATTTTGAGTGACACTCTGAGAGATAGAGCAGTCAGTGCAGGATGGCCACCTGGCTCCACATGATGGCTCAACAAGGAGTTTAAGAAAGAAAAAAAGAGGGGGAAAAATTAAAACTGTTATTGTCCTAGAAACCATTAGAGTTCCTGTTACCTTTGCTCTGTCTTTAGGACAAGGCCCTGACTTGTCCTTTAGTCTGTTTCACTGGGATTTTTCTGTTTTTCTGCAAGCCTTATTTCTTTCAGTAACACTTAGACTTGAGGGACAAACAGTGGATATCTGAGAGAGTGTTTTTTTTTTTTGTTGTTGTTATGTCATCTCCCCCCTCCCCTCTTGGCAAGCTTCTCCTTTTTTTTTTTTTTTTCTTTACTTTCTGGTTGTCTTGCTTAATTAACTTCTTTAAATAGAGAGAATCTGTTCCCTGTTCCTAAAACACCAGTCTGAGAAAATTAAAACATTTTCTTTAAAATTGAAAACAAAAGGAGAGTTCCCTCTTTGAAAACAGACATGCTTCATCTTTCTGTGGTTCAGAGGTTTGTTCTATTTTCTGTGAATTTAAAGCATTGTGCGGTGACTGGACACTGGAAGCTGTGGTCCATTCTGAATTCCAAAAAGCATAAAAGTCAGCGTATGCCACAAAATCCCCCCAAAAGTCAGGGCAGTACTCGCAGAGCTTTCAGAGCTCTGGTTTTGCTGTTAACTTAAAATTTTCACCTTAAAGTGGCAAACTCAAAGGTAAAGATTATTTAGGTTTTGTTTGGTGGGATTTTTTGTGGGTGGTGGGGGGGTGTTGTGCTTTTTGGGTTGGTTGTTGTTGTTTTTTTTTAACTGAGAAATATCTGTCACAAATGTAACTGATGCTAGTTATTATTCTGTGTCATCCAACAATACATTGCTAACTATGGCCAGTAAAAGCACTTACACTAGCATAGTTTTGAACATTCCCTTCTTCCTTTAAATTAGAATTGCAGCTTTTCTTTCAAATCATGAAATTCTACTTTGTACATCACGTAGTTTTTCAGGGGGAGGGAGGGTGGGGAGGAAGGAAATGCAACTTAGCAAAATTAATTTGCTTCTGGCTTTTTAGTTCAACCCAAAGAATCTAGTGTTGAATGTTTCAGACACATTGAACAATCATAGGATCAACTAGGTTGGAGAAGACCTTTAAGATAATCAAGTCCAATTATTACTACAGGACTGCTGAGACCACTGCTAAAGCATGTCACTGAGAGCCTCAGCTGCACAGTTTTTGAAGACTTGAACACAGTTTTTGACCACAAGTTTTACTGTATCCTTGGACTGATGTCACCACATGTTTCTTTTGGATGCTTTCTCCTTCATATTTGTATCTTGTAGCTTTGGCTTCAGCAGAGGCTCTCCAGCAACTTGCCTCCTGAAGTTTTTTCAGTTTCCTGGAGGCTGCATGTCCTCATGTGCCAGTAATGCCAAAGCATGTGTAACTACTCCACGTTAGTCACAAGCAAATTGATCAGTTTGAATGGAAGCTTAATATGCATTGTTAATTATTTTAGTTCTCAAATTATTAACAAAGTATTTTTTTGTTCTTGGTTTCAGACAAAGTGGACTCTGAATTGCTACAGGGTTACAGCAAGTACCTGCCTCATGATACTGTTATCATGACTGTTAAAGTAGCCATCCTGTTTGCTGTGCTTTTGACAGTCCCTCTAATCCATTTCCCAGTAAGTACTCCTCAACATTTTGAAGCTGGCAGTAAGCAATGGTAATGCTAATGCTTTACAGACTGCAATATTTCAGTCACATCTAGTCTTGTGTATCTTATTCACTTGTCAGGTGATTGATCAAAGACCACATATTTGCATATGTTCCATGAAAGCTCAAAAATAACAACTAACCACTAAGCTAATTTGTGCTCTTGAGACAGATTCCAGATTAAAACTAGGCCACAGCTTTGTTTTTAATTTAGAGAATCCAGAGCTTCTAAAGTTTATTTGGTTTGATTTTTTTGGTTTTGTTTTTTTGTTTTTTTCCTTACCCGTTCTTAAATTGAGTTTTGCTGACTTGGTTTTTCCTTTCTACATACACGCACCCACACACAAACACACTTGTACTTGAAAACTCAATTGTAAATTAGAAACACGTATTGACCTGTTTTACAAAAAAAAACTACTTTAGATCATCAGTACCATGATTGAACTGAAAATTCATTGTTAGGACCAAAAAAATGTTTGCAAGCAAACTATATATCTGGAAGTAGATTACAGAAGCTGGCAACATGCTGATGTTTGCTACCAAGCATGCTTAAAGAGACAAAGTGTTATCTCCCAGACCTCTTTTAGTCCCTGCAAAAAAGGAGTAATTCCTTAAGACTAATGGCCATGTGATAAATACTGCTTTAATACTAAAGTAAACTCTGTGCTACAGAAAGGCAAAACATTTGACTGTTACTGAATTTTTTGTATTTTGATTTTTTTTAAATGTTTTTTCACATCTTGAATGATGTCATTCCCAAGTTTATGAAATTGAGATAAGATTAAATAAAGTGTATCTATGTATTTATCCATGCAATGTTTCTCTTCATATCATGTAGGCAAGAAAAGCTGTATTGATGGTATTTTTCTCTCATCTTCCTGTGTCGTGGATTTGCCATATCCTTGTCACTTTAACACTGAATACAATTGTTGTGTTGTTTGCGATGTACGTGCCAGACATTAAAAATGTATTTGGAGTAGTTGGTAAGTTGTTGTGGTTCTTGGGGTTTTTTTGTTTAACTTTTCTTCAGAAAATTCATTAAAATTATAAGTTAATGTACTTTAAGTTTTTACTTACAGCAAGATTACTTTCTGTTTCTTAAAGGTTCAACCACATCAACATGTTTGCTTTTTGTTTATCCTGGACTATTTTATCTGAAACTTAGCAGAGAGGACCTTTTATCACGACAGAAACTTGGGGTATGCTTTTTCTAATATGTGCTAATTATATTCAAGTGGCCTCATTTTCTATTCATCTCAATATGCTGTAGAGCACGTAATCCAAGGGGCAAAGTTCTTGCTCACAGATCTTGTGAATTGTAGTGAGAACATTTTGCTCTGTTCCTCGTGATAGCTCTATTCTTTCTGAAACTCCTCCTTCATAAGAGAATTTTGACTAGTAGTTTATCCATATGCTGGACTGCTGAGCTGAATACATGCTTTTCCCTATAGTTTTCAGATGTTGACTTTCAATCCAATTTCTCTTCAGTTTTTACGCATTACTCTGATGTTGTCTGGGCAGCTGGGACAAAGCCAAACTGCATTTAATTGAAATGGTGTTTATGCTTGGTTTTTATGTAAGCCTTCTCAGAAACATTTTCCCCACCCATCCCTTTCTTTTTTCCCCTCCCCCCGCCTTTTTTTTTTTTTTCTTCTCTTTATGGTTTCTCTTTTGGGGTAGTAGGTTAAACTCCAGCTGGAATTTGTGCAGCAGCCTGCTTTTTGCACTGGAACTGTCTTCATTTTAACCACTGCTCAGCAAAGCAACTTCATTACAGTGGCTAAAATGCTGACAAACTTTTTATGCATAAGTCCTTCAGCCATTCTTACAATTCACAGGGCTGCTTTTGTATTGACAAATTTAGGAGTCTGAAAAAGTGTCTAATAATGATGCTCTTGGACCATTTAAAGTCTTGACTAGTTTCAACAGTTTTGGGGCCTTGTTATAAATCGGCAAACAAACATCTCTTGAGCTGTAGTTTTATTATCATCTGGCTATTCAAAAATATAAAGAGTGCATTGTAACTTTAATTAAATTTTGAGTCAAATACAAATTCAGTTTCTTAATTTATTGGGTTGTATCTGCAGACAGGTAGTGTGAGCAGGCAAACTAACTGCTCTCAGAGTTCCCAATGAAACTATCCGAGAGCAGGCTTAGTTTAGTTTTTCCCTAAACAGATACCTTGTGTTTGAAGACTGAAAAATCTGGAACATTAAAGATTATTTTAAAAGACACTACTTAAATCTGTTCTTGCAGGATTTTTTTCATCATTAGTTCTGAGCCTTAGACATAATGTAAAAAACTAATTTTTGGTTTTCTTTCTTGACAGGCATGTGCATTGGTTGGTTTTGGCATTTGTGTTGGCCTTCTCAGTTTAGTTCTAATAATCTTCAATTGGACTGACCAGTAACAGACTGTTGTTGATGTCTGAACAGCTTCAGAAGGACAAGAACCAGAGACATGTCAAAACTACCAAGATGAATGCTAGATATCCTCAGGGAAACACTGACCAAAGCTATCTCTGGAAGAAATAATGCTGTTTTTCACTGCATTAGTGATGTTCCCTTAATCTTGAGTCACTCTCTTCACTTACTGGACGATTAGTCTTTGCCATTGTAAAATAATAGTTTTTAATTCTGAAATCATGACGGGTAAAAAGGTCTCTTGAATTTCTGCATTGCAAAAATGCTTCAGTGCACGTGGTGGACAAAGGCAGAATCTTGAACTAACTTCTGTTTCAAAGACAATGAGTTGGATAGATCTGCTATGTAGATACGCTACATCAGTCATGATGTGCATCTTGATGTGTGCATTTAGTATAATACACACATTATCCTAGACAGTGAAAGATTTCTATTGCTTGAATAATTCCAAAATTTCAGCCAGTTCATATTAAGAACTTCCTGATTCCAGATATTTACCCTAATTTATCCTAACATGGATCCAGAAACCAACTGCCTTAGCCCAGTTTAATGGGCGCATCATTATAGTATTTGTTCATTGTTTTTTGAAACACAGTTTTTATACTTCCACCTACTAGAATCATACTGAAGTAATTTTTAAAATAGAAGGTTTTGCCCATCTAGCATAACAGCTTTTAGTAGTATTGGGAAGTATTTCTATTTTGCTGTTAATAATAGACATTTTTCAACTAATATCTATTTTTGGATATTATTCAGTGCACCTCAGTATTTCTCCCAGTGAAAGACTTATTTTGTTTTTCTTATTCCTATTTTTACAAGTGTTTCGTATTTGAAATAGTGTTTCTATATTTTATGTACTGTTGTATGTCAGAAGGTTGGGGCTTGAAATGTGAAATTCTGCTCTGAAGACAAAGGAAATCTTATGTTTATGGAACCCTAATTTTACCTTGGATCTCTATAAACTTCAATGTACTCTTTTATATTTCTTTTCCTTGCATAAATGAAATGTGAATGCCGTTTTCAACACCCAGCCAGGTTCTGTTAAACATGGTATTGAGGACCCACCATGGAAGTTTCTCATATTAGTAGAAAAGTAGTAAAGCAGTAGCTGATAGCATGGTAAGGTTTTTAAAACTTGTTTCTATCAGGTGGGATCTGATAACTTTAAAATAGCCCAGTCTCAAGAGAGTTTATTTGCTAAGGAAGAAGCTAAGCCTCCACAGAAAGGCTGTGGGTAAAGTTAAGAAATCAGCCTTAAATAGTCAGATTGAGAGAGTGGGAAAGATCTTCAGTATTTCCAGATGCAATCATTCTTTCAATTTATCTTAGCACTTTCACATCTGAGAAGTAGAATAAGACACAAGTGAATCATAGTGAAGTAATACATCTATGCAGTATGCAAGCAGCTAGTAAATGACATTTAAATAAGTTTTTCTGCCCATAAGGTACAGAGTTAGCAAATTAGTTGACTATTGCCAGAAAGTTCTGCTGGGACAGTTCTGTTAATATGAATGTAATTGAATGTGCTTGATCCTCACTTGACTAATAGGGAGGAACAGCTAAATAGAGTTGGAATTGTCTCCTCTGTTCCTGAGGTGACAGACTAGGATTTCTTATGCCAACAGGTCACTCGGTTCTCTAGGGATTTATACTACTCCTCGGTTTTGATAGATAGCCTGAATGCACCCAGGTGGTGCAGCTTGGTACTGCTTCAGGAATCCTTTTTGCTTGGGCAATATCAGGGTTTTAATATAGAAATACACATTTTGACGTGTGGTGAGGCTAGGGAACTAACAGACATTTTGATAGGATCCCAAAGAAAAGGGTCCCAAAGAAGACTGCCATTACTTCTAGTAGATGTTCCATGACATAAGATGAACCATCTAATAGTTTGTCAGTACCAGAAACAGCATGTCCAATCTTGGCCAGAAGTTCACAACTGCTGTGGCACTGGCAGTGGCTTTTGACAAGTGTGGTCATGCTGGTTTTCTGTAAGTAAAACACAAGATGTGACATGTTACTTGCCAAAAAAATGAACCCCGAGTGAGCTCACTCAGGAGACGAGAAAAGTGAGAGGAGGGTGCTAGGACTGGGATTATCTTTTTTTTAGCAGCAGCAGCCACTAGGTAGCACAAAACATCATGCTTTGTCCAGCAGTTTTGCTTCAGCAGGTTGAAGCGTGTGTGTGTGCACATAAGGAGTGCCTCTAACTGGAGAGGTCTCTTGCCTCCTTTGATCAAGGGATTGAGCAGATCTTCTCATCATTGTGGAAGTATTAATGGTTGAGGCTTCCTCCCCATCTTGCCTTTTGCAGCTCTCCCAGGTTGTTTAACTCTTGATAACCAGATGTAGCTGCCTTACTGCCTGCACCTACCCTCTAATAGCTGTGTTTCACAGGTTTCGTTACACTTTAGGGATTTGGTCACTCAGTATCTCTTGGCAGTAGTGCAAAAAGCTGAATACATATACCTTATAAAACTGTACCTTGAGAAAGCGATGACAGCTGTACATCAGGAAGTGATTTTCTGTCTGACTGAACCAAAATATTTTAGGAAACCTGGAGACCCTACAATCATGTGAATGAACTGCAGGGTGTTCTGGGTTTTGTTCTGTTTTCTTTCCAGACACTAGAATTTAGGAGGAATATTTATTAGAAATTTCATGGAAGTTGTTTCTCATTTAGTATATGTTCTTGTAGCATACTGTTGAGTAAAAGTTGTAGGACACCACTGCAGTCACTTTATTTTACATTCCAGCCAGCAAGACTTCTGTGAAGGTACAGAATGTTGGCAAAGCTTTGTGAAGATTTTTCTCTTTCCTCCCCCTGAAAAAGGTGAATCTTGCTGTGCACTGTGATGCTCTGTTTGTACACTCTGATGCTGTGTTTGTACACAAGCAATTGGCTTTGTGTGCATTGTCTTAAGAAATGTGACAGAGAAAATATCTGAAATAGTGTTAATTTTACAGCTGATTCCTGTAATGCTATGGAAGTCACGGCATCATTGTTTTTAAACCCCCGAGTATTATCATAACTAACCCGGCTATTACCTAATTGTCCTAGTAGGTAGCCTTTAGAATGATGAATACCAGTGTGTGAAGTTAATACTTGGTGAGAATGGATGGAAGCAATTCACACCTCTGCTGGAGCTCCATTATTACATTTTGGCTGTGAATCGGGAAGGATAGCAGCACAGGGGTTACAGAATGTAACTGAAAAAGAGTTAGAAATACGGCTACTTTTAAGTTTCTGTGATACATAACTTAAAATACAGAGACAGGGAGAGAGCCAGAAAGAAAACAATTATTTCCAAACTTAGAAAAACGTATAAGTACTTTCCACAGTGAAAAAGCAGAGGAAGGACTTTGGGTTTATCCTTTGCATCCCCCACAGGAGATTGTTCTGTTTGTTGTGCCTGCATAAGGGTTTCACTACAGTTGTGCACTTGTGTGCACTTTTTTTGAGCAAAACAGACTTCCAGTCTGGAACTCTGCTCACTCAAGTGCTGATAAATAGATCTTTATTTATTCTTGTGTACAGGATTGGGTTTTTTCCTTCTGAATTTCCAGATTTATAATTTTCAGGGGTACTGCTTTGTTACCTATAGTTAGCATTTTCTGACTTTCTTTGCTGAAGACTTGACAGGAATGAAGGGGCCCACTGTTTTTCTGAATTCATTGGGAAAGGTTGCCTTTCCCCAGCTGACCAAGAACAACAATGATGGGAAATGAACTGGTTGCCTTTGGTTTGTTTTCTCTCTTTCTCCTATTTCATTCCTGGTCTATTGAAGGCTGGTCAAATTTCAGATGGACTGTGGTAAGCTGGGTGTGGAGAGTGGCTTTTGTAAACAGCATTGTAGGAACCAGTAATGCAAAACAAAAGCACTCTGCACCTCTTTGTTTTGTGGCAGATGCTCATGCTTTATTTCCATATTTCTAAGCAGTTTGTATCTTAATATATTACTTTTCATGACAATAAATATGTTTAAAATTCTCTTGTGTGTCCCTGTATAGTGAAAATTGAGACACTGTGAAACTGTCCCATCCTCTCTCTGTCCCTCCTTTCACCTTCCCCTTCAGGTTTTATTAACACCAGTTGATGACACTAGGCAGGAATGTGGTATTAGCTGAACAGTTCAAGTTATCACTTGGGAGTGCAGCCTGCGTGTGAGGGTGTGGGTCCACACTGCTCCATCCATGTCCCGCAGGCTCAGCTTGCACCTAGTGCCACCACAGCTCATGACTGAAGGCCAATGCTGGTCATGGGCCGACCTTTTCAGTGTGCCCAAGTTGACTATTTTTGTAAGAATTTGCTATTTGAAATATGGAGATAGCTTAACTTTTGGAACATGGGAGGACTCTGTTGATTTGGAGTTCTTAAATCATTTATGTTGTGTAATATACTTAAGGTGCTGTATTTCCAACCATAGCAATCTTAATGAGGATGAAACCATGATGATGCAGTGGGATCTGTCTGATTGAGCTGCTGAGACAAATGTTAAATCGTTGAGCAGCTCAGCTCACAAGTGCATTGTTTGCATGAGAGAGACTTTCAGCTGGAGACCAGTAACGAGTGGTGTCCCTCAGGGATCGGTGTTGGGACCGGTCTTGTTCAACATCTTTGTTGCTGACATGGACAGTGGGATTGAGTGCGCCCTCAGCAAGTTTGCCGATGACACCAAGCTGTGTGGTTCGGTTGATACGCTGGAGGGAAGGAATGCCATCCAGAGGGACCTTGACACGCTTGTGAGGTGGGCAGATGCCAACCTGATGAAGTTTAACCATGCCAAGTGCAAGGGCCTACACCTGGGTGGGAGCAACCCCAGGCACAGCTACAGGTTGGGCAGAGAAGAGATTCAGAGCAGCCCTGCGGAGAAGGACTTGGGGGTGTTGGTCGATGAGAAACTGAACATGAGCCGGCTTCAGTGTGCGCTTGCAGCCCAGAAAGCCAGCCGTATCCTGGGCTGCATCAAAAGGAGCGTGACCAGCAGGTCGAAGGAGGTGATCCTGCCCCTCTACTCTGCTCTCGTGAGACCTCACCTGGAGTATTGTGTGCAGTTCTGGTGTCCTCAACATGAAAAGGACATGGAACTGTTGGAACAAGTCCAGAGGAGGGCCACGAGGATGATCAGGGGACTGGAGCACCTCCTGTATGAAGACAGGCTGAGGAAGTTGGTGCTGTTCAGCCTGGAGAAGAGAAGGCTGCGTGGAGACTTCATAGCAGCCTTCCAGTATCTGAAGGGGGCCTATAGGGATGCTGGAGAGGGACTCTTCATTAGGGACTGTAGTGACAGGACAAGGGGTAACGGGTTCAAACTTAAACAGGGGAAGTTTAGGTTGGATATAAGGAGGAAATTCTTTCCTATTAGGGTGGTGAGGCACTGGAATGGGTTGCCCAGGGAGGTTGTGAATGCTCCATCCCTGGCAGTGTTCAAGACCAGGTTGGACAAGGCCTTGGCTGATATGGTTTAGTGTGAGGTGTCCCTGCCCATGGCAGGTGGGTTGGAACTCGATGATCTTAAGGTCCTATCCAACCCTAACTACTCTATGATTCTATGAATATGGGCTTCAACTTATTACTGTCTTTCTTGTGCTGCACAAAGTATCATTTTGGTATGGATCTGGGAGTCCATGCTCCTACAGCTTTAGTCTGTGGTGCCCACGTGGGAGCTGTCAGTCCATGCTTGCGTGTTTGGAGGCTCCATGGGCATCTCTTTTGGACAGGAGTGGAGCAGGGTTATAGACCTAGGCAGGTATTTTGCCTGACCCAGTGTGGCAAATCTCATATAAAATAAATTCCTAACATAAATTTTGAGGATTATTTGTGGCGAATATGGAACATTTTTGTTAGCATCAGCCAATGCACTTTCATCATTGCACCTGATATGTGAGTGGAGGCAGAAGTCTGGCTGTTCTGGATAGAAATATCATTGCTTGTTGGACCTCCTTTCCTGATTAAATCTCATTTAACACTTTACCTGAA